TGTGTATCATTTTTTAGTTTTGAAATGATTTCACTCTAGCTCAGGCCAGTCTGGAGTGACTAGGTTGGTGATCATTTGTCTAGCATGCATGAATTCTTGGGTTCAGTCTCCAGCACCACACGAATGGGCTTGCTGGGTCCATGCCTGTAATCCCAGCTACTGGAGAGAGAGGGAGAGAACTTAATAATAATAATAATAATAATAATAATAATAATAATAATAATAATAATGTACAAGAAGAAAGAAAAAATAGAAGTGCGAGGAGAGATCGGACTTCAGGAAGACCTTTCAAACTGTTCTGTGGTGCTCCGACCATTCCCAGAGCTCTTTGAGGTGGGCAGGCTCTCATCTGTGGTGAGACACACAGCTCTGGTACTAGGGACTGGTAACCCAAGATTAGGAAAGGAGGAAGCGCTCTAAGGCACGGACCAGAGACAAAAATAAATCTTCCCAGATTCTGGAACAGGGTAACATTCTTGATGGAAGTGAGTAAGTAATACAGAGAGCGGAGCTGGTGCCTGCGGCCGGACTGATTCTTGTTGAATCCCTGCTTCACGGCAGAGGGCACTGCTGTATTCTCAAAGACAGCGGAGCCTCCACTGCCAGTGGGGAGGAAAGCTGCCTCCCTTGTCCCTAAGCCCTTGAACTCAACCTCTGGAGGTAGAGAGTGAGGGCAGAGGGGGAGGTACTGCTCCACAGTTCTACCCATTCAAGAGCCAGAACCAAGCAGAAGTTCCCAGTGGCCCGAGGAAGAAAGTCCTCAACACACCTAAGTGTAGGGGGAATTCCGGACTCATTACTGTCCCTAGTGGGTTATTTCCTGGTAAGTCTCCTCGGAGATGTAGATCCAAGTCCTTAATAAGATACTGGTGTCTGTGTGTTCACATTTCAGTAATCTTATTTATTTTTGGATTTTTGAGACAGGGTTTCTCTTGTATAGTCTTGGCTGTCCTGGATCTCACTCTGTAGACCAGGCTGGCCTCGAACTCATAGAGATCCACCTACCTCTGCCTCCCGATATTTCAGTAATCTTAAATGGACATTCCTGTAAAGAAAAATGCTAGGACTTTATCTTCTTTATGAAAAATGGTATTTATCTAAAAGGCATTTCTCCACACTGGCCTATCATCTGGTGGGTGGGGTATGGGCGGTGTACTGAGTATTGAACTTTGTATGCTAAGCAGGTGCTGGACCACTCAGCTCCAGCTTTCCCATAGGATTCATTTTATGTGTGTGTGTATGTACCTGCATATAAGTATGCATACTACATGCATGCTTGGGGGGGGGCGCAAACAAGTGATAGGCAATTGTAAGCCACGGTGTGAGTCCCGGGAACTGAACCTGGGTCCTTTGCAGGAGGAGTAAGTATATAGTCTCTGAGCCATCTCTCTAGCCCCAAGATTTCTTACCTCTCACTGTACTGGGACTGGATTGTTGAATTCATATTACTTTGAAAAATAGTAATAGCACTTTGCAGCTGCTTGCTACACACAAGACTTTCTAAACTCATTACATACAACAACAATCCTATTGAGAGAAATTGAAGACAGAGCATAACAAAACCACATAGTTGCCCCACTTGGTGGCTCAGGCCTGTAATCCCAGCACTCAAGACAGAGGCAGGGGGATTGCCAAGAGTTTGAGGCCAGCCTGGCTTACATAGTGAGTTCTAGGCTAGTGTGAGCTAGTGTGAGATCTTGTCTCAAGCAAACAGAAACAGAAAGGTGGGCATGGTAGCGGGCCTGTAATCCCAGTACTTGGGAGGTAATGGCAAGGAGACAAGGAGCTGAAGGTCATTCCTGGCTTCACAGTGGGTCTAAGACCTGCTTGGGTTACATGAAATCTTGTCTCACAAGGGAAAGGGGCTGGGAATGTAGCTCAGTAGGGTGCCTAGCATTCACAAAGCCCTGGGCTTGAGCACAACTAGAATTCCCGCACTGTGGAAGTAGAGACAGATGATTGGAAGCTCAAGATTATCCTTGGCTGCTTAGTGAATTCATGGGCAGCCTGAGATACTCGAGTACATGTCACAACACACACGCACGCGCACACACACACACACACACACACACACACACACACACGCACGCACGCACGCATGCACGCACGCACACAGAGTAAACAAAAACAGTAAACTAGTAAATAGTAGCTACTCTTTATGGGTTTGTTTTTGTTCTTTTATTTTGAGTTTTTATGCAGCATTGATAAGGATCTAAAAAATTAAATTCGTTCTTTGACTTTTTCATGCACACATATAATACGTTTTGATTACTCTTCCCTACCTGCCCTTGTATCCCTCTCCTACTTCATGAATTTGGTTGTTACCAATTCCTCATCCAACACCGGTGTGCCTTTGGGAGTCGGTGATGTATTGAGCTTTAAATCTGTTCTTGAGAACTCACGTATGTCCCCAAGGGCAGACATGAGAGCACAAGGCTGTGTAGGGGCATAGCTCTCACTGGAGGCCTTGAACTACTTGACATCTGACAGGTAATAAAGAATGGAAGTCTTTTGATCTAAAAATGGAGTAGTCCACATCGGCTCAGTGCCTGGGAACATAAAGTGGGAGGCATAAGCTATTTCTCATTCAGTTCAGGCAAATATTACCCAAAGTACCATGATAGGATGAGGTGGTAGAGGTCTATAAATCTCAGTACTCAGGAGG